AGCCTTAGGGTGAGGAGCTCGGTCACCCGGGAGGAGCTCAGAGTAGAACCGCTGCTCCTCCACATCGAGAGGAGACAGCTGAGGTGGCTCGGGCATCTGTTTCGGATGCCTCCTGGGCGCCTTCCTAGGGAGGTGTTCTGGGCATGTCCCACCGGGAGGAGGCCTCAGGAAAGACCCAGGACACGCTGGAGGGACTATATCTCTCGGCTGGTCTGGGAACGCCTCGGCATTTCCCCGGAGGAGCAGGAGGAAGTGTCTGGAGAGAGGGAAGTCTGGGCATCTTTGCTTAGACTGCTGCCCCCGCGACCCGGTCCCAGATAAGCGGAGGAAAATGGATGATGGATGGATAGTAACCTGCCTTATTAATAATATGCTTTGCTCATTTTTGTAGTGAAACTGTTGAATGTGTTGTTGTTTTCAAGGTCAAAGCAAATGTTATTCTTGTATCTGAGATTATTTTCACACATCTGGACACTGAACAATACTTTGGTTTTGAAGCTAGTTTAGCTCCGCCACACTCACACCTGGGTGTTCAGTCTGGACAAAACCCACAGTGACAAACAGGAGAAACAGTTTTTGCTGTGGTAGTGAACATAATGCAGTGCAAGGGCTTTCTGATACAGTAAATGTTATCCTGGTTCAACCTAACCACCCCTACAGCATGTTACACACAGCAGTTCAGAGTCTCACCGTAGCCTTCAGCCTTAAATAGCCTCGCCCTAAATTAACACAGGCCACCCACAAGGCCGCTCTCTTTCTAAGGGACAATGCTGATAAGAAGAAACTTTGCTCCTGTTTATATAGTTTCTGAAGTATTTATGATACTACCACAACCACGGAGTAATAAATAAAGTATGTTTATGTTTAATGACTGATAGGCGGGAGACCTTTTGCTGGCTGGTTTGCCATTCACTGTTCTACAACAATTTATTGGCTGTTAATGATGCTGTATTGTTGTGTCACCCACAGGATGTTCCTACTGAGCAGGTGTGTGTCTGTGTGTGCGCAAGTGCTTAGCTGTGTGTGTGTCTTTTGTATTTGCATGGGAATTTATGCACAGTGGGAACAAAGACAGTGGATGTGTGTGGGTGTGTATGCATTTCCCAGTGGACAGTAAGACTGAGGTGGGGAGAAACAAAGATGGTTTGTCATCACTCTGTCCTCAGGGAGAGGAGACAGCACAGTGGTAATGTTGTCACTCATCAGTGTTCTTAAGTTTGCTTATACACAGTTGCCATATACACACAAATTAAACCTTGTTTCTGTGTATCTCATACTCCAGCCTGTGCACAGACACACCTCTCATGTCAACAATCTCAGGGACAAAGGTCACCCTGAGCTCTCAGGTGTCGTGAGAGAGAAAGAGGCCGAGCGACAGAGAGTGATGGCACACGGGACAAAGAGAAAGAAAAAGTGGACAGAACCGACCTGAATGAACCACCGTGGTGACAGAAGCTCTCACATGATCACTCATCCTCAGAGTGACCTGTCAGCTCTGCCTGTGTCGCTGCTTCTTCACATGCACTGTTATTTTCTCATCTAGCTTCACACCGCACAGACAAGTCGCTCTGCATAATCGCTACACCCTCACTTCACGGTCGCAGTATGTTTATGTGGCTATTTTGTGTTTAGTGTTGGGAAAGGACGTTTTGATGAGCCAGTTTTGGAAACAGTTCATGTGTTACTTAACTGTAGGTTTCTCTTACACACTCTTGCAAGCATCTTTGTCTCACTTAAACACACACACACACAGACTCATTCATTCTCTTATTGTTAGATTCAGTCTGAATTCAGTTCTTTACTTGCATTAAGTGTTCTTGTACCTACTACATAGTGAGGACCAAAAAGTATTTTCTCTTGTACCTACTACATAGTCAGGACCAAAAAGTATTTTTTGCTACAGATTGAGGACATTTTTGGAAAGTGAGGACATTTTAGTTGATCCTCACTTTGCGAAACACCTTTTTGAAGGTTAAGACTTGGGTTCAGATTAGAATTAGGTTTAGGTTAGATGTTAGGATAAAGGTTAGGGTTAGGCATTTAGTTCTGATGGTTAAGTGTTAGGGTTAGGGGCTAGGGAATGCATTATGTCAATGAGTGTCCTCAGATAGATAGAAGTACATGGGCGTGTGTGCAAGCATGTCTGTGAGAGAGAAAAGTTAACAGAAGCATGTTCCCACCTGAGTTGTCTGTCCTTGCAGACGGCCACCATGACCAGCAGGTTTCCCAGGATGCTCATCAGCATGACCAGAGACAGGAAGCAGATCAGAGCAATCCGCTTTGGCATGCTGTTGCTATGGAAACACCAAAAGGACAAAGCAACAACAATACATCAGTACAGCTCTACAGAGTATCTATGACAGATAAGGGTGACGAACAGACAATAACTTAGTTTAACTTAGTTTACCAGCACTTAGAAAAGCTTTTTTATGTTAAAGTAGTCCATTCCCACTGACTGCTCAGCCTTCCGAAAGTAAGTTCAGGTCACTGGCAGTAAAACTGTTAAGGAGGGTTCCATTCAGGGAAAATTGGATTTATACATGATAAAGGTCCCGCTGCTCTGAAACCTGACGTGACAGTACACCATTAACCTACATTATAATGCTGCTATTTATTGCATGTTCTCAGTAAAACGATACTAACAGGTTTAGAAGCTTGGTTCTGTTTGTTATCTGAATGTTTCCGTAATCAAAACACTGAGGTGCCAGGGAGAATTATTTATATCTCCTCCACCCTGAGGTGGCCTGTTTGCTCACAGCAACAAGCAAAGAAGACAAACTCCATTTAAAATCAGCAAGATGAACATCACAGAGGCAGCTGTGAAATGTGACCAAGTACTAACTACTACTACTACTACTACTACTACTACTACTACTACAGTCTGCTTAAGAAAAGTTATTCCACCAATGCAAGTACTTGAAAGGTTTAATATTTGCAGTATTAATTACACAAAGACTTACAACAGGAGGTGCAGCTCCATTAATCACATCATGCATGTTGTCATGGCCAGTTTTCAGCTGGTATGAAATGCTGCAGCATGCCGTTTACAGTAACTGATACACACACATACGAGCACACCACCTGTTCTGGCCTCTCTCCATTGGCTTCCTGTCTGGGCCTGAGCAAACTCTAAAATTTTGGTTTTAGTTTTTAAGGCACTGAATGGAATGGCTCCTTATATCAGTGGCCTTGTGAAGTGGCACTCCCCCTCATGAGTTCGTAAGTCTTCTTTTAGCGGTGCCTAGAATCAGATGGAAAAGATGGGGAGACGTGTGTTAACTACAGCGGCCAAAAGGTTGTGGAATTTATTTTAGTGTTAAATCAGTTTCTGATCTATTGGAATGTATTTTGAAACCTAGGCTTGTAACCTCATCTGTCCCGTTGGTATCTGGGGTTCCGCAGGGCTCAGTTTTGGGGCCCCTGCTTTTCTCTTTATATTTACTTCCTCTTGGTTGTGTTTTTAGAAAACATGGTGTTTCTTTTCATTGTTATGCGGATGATGTGCAGATGTACATACCAATGAGGGAAAGGGACACATCATCGGTTGTATCATTATTGTCATGTTTTAATGACGTTAAGAGCTGGATGGCTTTGAATTTATTGAAATTAAATGATACGAAAACTGAGGTTATAGTGTTTGGCCCAAATAATTTTGGTGATTCTCCTCCCAGTTGATCTAGGTTGTTTGCAGCAGTATGTGCAGTTGACTGTTACAAGCCTAGGTGTCAAAACAGATTCCAATTTTAGATTGGAAGATCAAGTGAACACGGTTGTAAGGGCTAGCTTTCTTCACCTTCGACAGCTGGCAAAGATAAAGCCTTTTCTTTCGCAGCAGCACTTTGAGACAGCAATACATGCGTTTATTACGTCTCGCCTGGATTATTGTAATGCGCTCTATTTTGGGCTTAGTCAGACGTCCCTTGCCCGCCTTCAGAGAGTTCAAAATGCGGCTGCTCGTTTATTGGTTGGGGGGCGCAAACGGGAGCATATCACTCCCATTTTGGCTTCTCTTCACTGGCTGCCGGTGTTATGGCCACACACCACGATAATCAATGCAGGGATGGAGGCCGCCATCCTTCTTCCCCACGAAAAAGAACACTGCGCACAGAGGTGAGGAAGAAGGACGGATCATACCTGCATGTCGGGCTGTGTCTATGTACTCCTCCAAAGCCTGTCGTTCGGGTTTAGATATGCGAAAGAGTCAACTGTTGGGCAAGGTGGCTCCAGGATACAGGGTGATAGCACAATCATAGGGTCTGTGTGGAGGAAGAGTGTCAGTGGCAAGGCGCTTACTGAAGACCAAGCTTAATTCATGGTGATCAGGAGGGACGGAAGACAGGTCGGGTGGCTCATGTGGTGAAGAGGTAGAAGAAGGAGTAGAAGATAGACCAGCCAGGAGGCAGGTGGTAGCACAAGTCGAGGTCCACTGGGTGATGGTACCAGTGGTCCAGTCCAGGACAGGATTATGTCGGACCAGCCAGGAGTGACCCAAGATGAGAGGTGTGTCCGAGGTAGAGTGTTTCTTGAATTGGATGGTTTCTTGAAGATTGCTGGTGATGGTGAGACAGATAGGAGGTGTCTGGTGTGTGATTGTGGCTAGCAGCCGGCCGTCGATGGCCCAGGTCTTGAGGTTGTGGGGTAAAGGCTCAGGGGTGAGACCCAGCTGTTTCACTACAGTGGGGTCCATTAAGTCTCCCTCCACCCTGAAATTAATGAGGGCCTGGTGAGCGATGGTCTGAAGAGGGGTCTCAAGGAGCACCGGGAGAAAGCAGCTGTTCTTGGGTTCGATGGAGGTGGAGGAATGGCCCGTCAGTACCCCCACTGTTACTGACAGGCCTGGCCTTAGGGTCGCACCATGCAGATGGAGATATGGTGGTCGGGGGCACCACAGTACAAGCAAGACCCGGTGTGGATCCTGCGGGCTCTTTCCTCGGGGTCCAGAAGGGTTCATCCGAGTTGCATTGGTTCCTCCCCTTTGCCTGAAGCATATCCATAGCCGGCCCCGACGGTGGAGATCCGGAGCCCCCTGTAGGAAGGGGGAGAACGGGGTGGCCCCTGGTGGCTGGCTGCTGCACCACACATTCCTTCTTGCCGGTGTGTAGCTAGTTGTCAATCTTAACAGCCAAGTCAGCCAAGGAACGGAGGTCAGGGGGCTCTTCTCTGGTATTGAGCTCAGCCTTGATATTATCATTGAGCCTATGACGAAACGCTGTGCGCAGGGTAAGGTCATTCCAGCCGGCCTCTGTAGCAAGAACCCAAAAGTCAACGGCGTAATGAGCTGCCCTGCATGCCCCCTGACAGATCTCATGCTGCTTGGCTCTAATGATGTGGAGGAGTGAAGATGGCACATAGATCCTGAAAAAAGTTCTCAATGGTGGCTCCTTGTACCTGTCCCTGGGCTTCCGCTGCATCAGCCCAGGCAAGTGCTTTACCGTGTAAGCAGTTAATGATGTAATTTATTTTCACTTGGTCAGAGCGGAAGGTACGAGGCTGCTTGAACACTCTCTGGCACTGCATCAAAAACCCCCGGCATTTAGTAACATCACCGTCGAAGATCTCTGGTTCAGGTATCGGCGGGTCCCGGCCGGGACTGAGCGCCTGAGCAGACGGGCTGGAAGCTGATGCGTCAACCGGAGGTGGTGCAGAAAAGTGCCGTTCGATGAGGGTCGTCAGTCTCACTATTTGCTGAGCGAGACTGGCAGTGGTGTCCAATTGTTGTTGCAGTGCATGGTTTATTCTCTCCAGCTGTACGGTGATGTGAGTGAGTGCTGGAGAGCTGTTTACGTTGGATCCAGCAGAGTTCATGGTGGCCAGTTCGTTCTGTTATGGCCACACACCACACAAGGTGGTGTGAGAGATAATACAGACTCAGGTGGCTGAATTCAATGAAAACACTATTTTAATGGTGTTGTACAAGTCAATATAATGATGATGTGGCGACTATACATAGAATAGTCCAGAAGATGAGAAGATAGAGTGCGACGTAGCTCTGGGAGCGGTGGTGATGGTCACAGCAGAGTAGGATAAAGGAGCTGAAGGGTCACTCACTGGCTGGTCAGAGTAGAGAAGGTCAGGGTTGAAGAAGCGGCAGTTTAACAGTCCGAGGGGGGAGCTGTCGGCTGGCACAGGCGAGAAGACGGCTTCAGAAGAATAAAGCGGTTAACCAGAGTAGAAAACATATAACAAAACATACAAAGGAAAACGGCACTGGTTGTCGGTGTGGGAAACATGCAATGAACTGGCAGTGAGCAGGCAGGAAGGCAGGGTAGATATAGGGCGTGGGTAATGGCAGAATGGATAACAGGTGGCGATGATAAGGACAGCTGACAGGTGTGTGGAGGCGAGAGAGGGCAGGTGAAACGGAGTGACCCTGACAGCTGGTGTATTTTAGAATTCATTTTAAGATTCTTTTATTTGTTTATAAGTCTTTAAATGGTCTGGCCCCCTCTTATCTTACAGAGTTGTTGCGTCCCTATAGTCCTTCTCAGTGCCTCTGATCAGCTGATCAGTTGCTTCTTGAGATACCGAGGGCTAGGCTGAGACTTGGGGGGGACAGGGCTTTTGCTGTGGGGGCTCCAAAGTTGTGGAATTCATTACCCCTATAACATTAGGCAGGCCCCCTCGTTGTCCATTTTTAAAGTGTATTTGAAAACTCATCTGTACCTTTTGGCATTTGACCCGGTATGAGGCTTTGTTTTGCTGAGGATTTTTGTTTTATGATGGGTGGTTGTTTAATTGTTATTTTGTTTTATTATTGTGTTTTGTGTTAAGCACTTTGGTCAGCTGTTGCTGTGTTAAATGTGCTATATAAATAAAGTTGATGGTGATGATCTATCGGGTTTTACATCTCTTAAAGACTCATTTATTTGTCTTGGCCTGTGGATTGCAGTAGAGCTGACATGTCTTGATTACTTTGCCATATATTTATGTTACTATTAAACTATTGTAAAAAGCATTAAGTTTAGACTTTCATAGTACTTTGCTGTACTTGTGTTGTATTTATTGTTTTTATGTGTTCTGTTTATTGCATTGTATTGTTTATCCTTCTAACTCTACTTTGGTTTTTACCTTTATTTGCACCGTGAAGTACTTTGGTCGGTATACTGTTGTGTTAAAGTGCTAAATAAATACATTTTACTTTCACTTCTGTTGCCATTTTTCAGCCTGTGGCACATGTCAGACACCTGTGCTAGATGCACAAGTCAGACACTACAACATCACACCATGTTTCAGTCACTGAGAGAATCAGGTGAGTGGGCAGTAATTCAGAGGAACCAAGCTACTACATCAGATA